GGGCTGGTACCGGCGGCCTGGGGGAGCTCCGCCGAGACTCGGGCTGCGGGGCATTTGGATTCACGCAGTGTCACTCATGGAGCGGGTGGGAAAGAAGGTTTTGCAGCTGCCATCTCTGATGCTGGGTGGGAGTAGTAAAAGAGCCCGCTCTGGGCACGCTCTCCTCCGGCTGACAACACCCGAACCTCCTACACCCACGCAGACGCACACACACACCCCATCTTTTTTCTTTTTCATGTATGTGTTCCAAAAGATCGGAACGTTACTTTTTTTTAACCCTGGGCACGTGATTGTGAACACTACTTAGCAAGCAAGGAAAGTGCAGCAAACAGGTTGGGAAAGTCTCTTCTCTGTAGCTTTGATAACCGTGAGCTTCCCTAGAAACTACTGTCCCTGAATTATCGACAGTTGTTGGAAGCAAATATTTCTTCTTCAACCTGTGGACATTCGTCCCAAGTTAACTTTTAAATGAAAGTTTGAAAAAAGTTTCAAAAATGTTTTAAAAGATGAGGGAGAAGATGAAGGAAAACTATCGCTCCCTTCCAGAATACAAGTGAGGTTTGCTTTCGAATATCTCAGGGGAAAGCAGCTGATAAGAGTCTTGTTTGTTTTATTGCCCTTTGGGCAACACCCATGAGACTTCAGAAACAGCCGCTGGCTGGTGGAAACCTCCTGGTTGTTTGGCATCTGTGTTGGCATAGGGCAGCCTTCTCAACTCCTGAAACTGAACTTGAGGGGTCCCTGTGCACTCCTTAAGAGCAGATAGGGCAGTGCCAGAATCGTTTTCACGAAGCCCTGTGGTAAGGAGTTGAATTTATAGTTTGAAGTCAGCTGTGGACAAAAGCTGAATGCCAAATTAATATCAGTCTATTTATTTGCACTTGTTTCAGAATCATACTTGTGCATAAGAGCATTTAAAATAGACCTTATAACTGCGTCTCTCAAGAAGTCTGTTAGGAGTGGATTGGAGGTGGAGTGGGGAAAAGGAACTTAGGAACTGCCACAAAATTTGCTGTGTATACTTGTGAAAGTGGTTGTGATTGTATGCACACCATCTGCATTTGAATAAGTTGTTTCACTTGTATTTTTCCCACTTAAATAAAGTCAAAAGATAACTTGTGCTTTCCTGTGCCTGAACTGGAAAGGAAGCATTTTTCCCAGGTAACTATTAGGGAATCTCATTTTTGTAACAGTGACAACTTATTCAGGTAGATGGTGAATGTAGGTGCATTTTTCTGTCTGTAGCATAAGTGCCAAAGTGCCCATCAGTGGGTCTGAGAACATTACTGGCCCCTGTCTGCAGTGTTTAAGAGTCTCAGGTTCTCCTGCACATCTTTTCTCATCATTCCCTTAGGATTTAATCCACCAGCCATTATTCATGCATCACTCCCTCTGACTCCAGGGAATTCGTTTCTCATGGTCTCACCTTTGACAGTTTTATGTTCTGTTCTTGTTCTGCTGCCAGGTTTGTTCCAGGCTCACTAGGGTAGTTCATTTTGCCTAAAATCTGATGGAGAAGAAGTTAAGCTTTGACCACAAGATTATGTTTAGGGTAGCTGGACTTGTAAATATCCTGCATTTCTTTCCTGTACAAGACTGCAATTCTTACACCATTATGTGATTAGGTTTGCTTCTCTTTAACAGGTTCTGTGCCTCAGGAAAACGAGAGCAAGCTTGGCTGCAGAGTATTCCCAGAGCTTTGTTCATTTTTAGCTATTTGCTTTAGGAATTAGCATGGTTCCACTGTTCAATATCCCTCGCCACAGATTCCATGGAAAAACCCTTTGCCATCCTTCCAAATGGTGTCCAAAACTTTTATGCTCACAAGCTTTCCTGCTGTTTCTTCCTGTCACTATTATTTATAGTGGTCACAGGAATTCAGACATTGTACAACAGAGAATTTACGTTCTGAGGATTAGATTTTCCCCACCAGCACTTGTTTACTATAGGAGTTAAATCAGTCTCCCAAACGCTTGCCCTCTTGAGGAGGCCTGTGTTGTTGCAGCTTTCAAGGTGCAGAACTGGGAGAGAGCCATCTAGGCGCCCAGTCTCCGAGCAGTGATTTTGTTGTTGTTGTTGTTGTTTTTAAATTTTTTTGAAGTATAGTTGATTTACAGTGTTTCAAGTACACAGCAAAGTGATTCAGTTATGCATGAATATAGATATAAATCTATTCTTTCTTTCTCAGATTCTTTTCCATCATAGGTTATTACAAGATATTGAATATAGTTCCTTGTGCTATACAGTAGGCCCTTGTTGGTCATCTGTTATATATATATTAATCCCAAGCTCCTAATTTATCCCTCCCCACCACTCTCTCCTTTGGTAACCATAAGTTTGTCTTCTGTGTCTATGAGTCCAAGTAGTGATTGTTGTTTGCATGATTGATAATGTGCAGTGTCCCTCTACAGTAAGGTTATTAGTGGGCTTATGAAGTGGCAGCATCTTCATAAGGTATAAATATTTTTAGATGCTGGATAGCAGGACAATGGCTAATGTTGAATGATGGAACATGGAATGTGTAACTGTCTTGTGAGTCAGATACACAGAACTGGAAAGGGAATACTGTTTCCATATTACTAAGTATGGTGAAGAAATATTTGCTTACCTTCATTTTCCATTCTGCTTTGTCATTTAGGTGAAGTGATGCATGAAAATACTTAGTTGGAAACTTTAAAAGCTATTTATGTATCTAAGGACTTCTTATCCAGTAAAGGCTTATTCCTAGAAATGAAATGTTGTGGACTTGAACTTTCTTCATCTAGATTTAGATACAAGGATAAGTTTTGGAAATCTTCATGCCTTTTTTAAGATGTGAGTTCCAGATAGTTCTGTAAGGATGAAGTGATTGATTTGTAAAGGCAAGAGAGAATTGAAAATTATGTAACTCATTAGTTACCTTTCCAGTAGTGAGATAATGAATGTTTTTATTACATCTGTTTACATCCTAGAGTGTTTATGTTTAAATAAACTGAAATGGGCATAGTAATGGCTGACCTAAAGTTTATAAAAATGGAAACACTAATTGTCTCCTGGGGAATTATTCTACTATCAGGTGAATTGGGAAATTATTGCAGAGCTACCAAACTAATTTTAAAGCATCACAGTTATCATTGGTGTTTTATTAATGGGGAAGGAGTCAGGGCAAGGTGTGAATGCCTCAGGAAAGGCCCTGATTGGGTGGTAGAGTGTGTCCCCCAGCCACCACCTCTCTGTACACTTTCCTAAGAGCATTCACACCTCGCCATCCTTCACTCCATTCTTGAAAGCCGCCCTCTGCTGGAGGCCTTTGTTTCCTTTGCAAACTGATCAGGGAAATCTTGTCACCCAGACAAGCAAGAGACTAGCATGATAAATTTTCCTTTTCCTTCCCCTCTCCCCGCGCCTCCACCCGCCATAATTCCGTGAGTAAAACTCCTGAGCAGTAAATGACTGCAAATGCTATCTGTAAACAACATGGTGCCTGACCTGGACTTTTGTGACGCTGGAAAATTATAAAATGAGAGAATCCTGGATCTGGAAATACCAGAGCTAAAAGACTAAAGAGATCATCTGGTTTGGGTCACTGTAACAATTTCTAGACCATCCTCAACACACATTTGGTAACGGAGTGAACAACTTAGGAAGCTTGTAACTTTAATACAATTGTCAGTTTAAACCCAGTTGGGACCTGAGAACACATACCTTTATCTTCCAGTTTCTGATCAGGTATTTAAAAACCAAATCAATTTGGAGTAAATTGACCTGCATTAATTTCTAAATCTGAATGAAAGTTTGTATTTTTTAATACAATTTTGTGGCTTTAAGAATAACATAGAAACTTTAATCAAGATATGAAACGTTCTCAGAATAAGGTCCTACCACACAAGTTAATGAATAGAATTGAAGTAATAATATAGGGAACTTGTAAGCAATGTTTCAAACTAATAGAATTAACATTTTTGAGGTATCTGAAAAGTTTATTTCTAAGAGCTTTACCCTGCCCTGTTGGTTTAGCAGTTTTACATATAGATGGCTGACTTCTCCTAAACTGGCTAAATGACCCAAATTTAAGTTGTAAAGACTCTGGATGAGTAATATTCCTTAATATCAATATAGAATATTAATATTCTTGTCATATTCTGCAATAACCTCTTTAGCATCCTCTAACAGCATTCTATGATTTGTAAGTAGTCCCAAAGGTCCTTGGCATAGTTGTCATCATTTTGCTGAAGAACAAGTTCGATCCTCTGTGTTGCGAGGCTGCAATGAGGCTGTGGCCGGTGAGAGAGCCTCGCTGACCGCCCAGCGCTCACACCCAAGAAAAGACTTGCTCCCGTGCTCCATACCCACTAACTCATGAACTGGTTTCCGAAACATTTCTTTTTCCTTTAGAAAGGCAGACGTTTAAAAATATATACATATATATACATATTTATTTATATATGCCATCGTGGTTCTTGTGAAATGAGGCAAGCTTCAAAGTGTTTTTTAAACAGGGGGTTACTATATAGGCAAAGTACTTGGAAAAGTGACACTAGAATCAGTTTTTCCTGTGATGGGGTGTATTCATTAAGGCAGGGTTCCTAGATGGATTTTTTTAAAGTGTGTTTGAACTAGTTTCAGACTCTTTCCTGCCATTCTCTTCCCTGACACCCTTGCCAGTGGACAGTTCCAATGTTTGGATAAATGGATAAAGCGAAAGACACAGGCCACTGGCATAATTCTGCTACAGCAAATAATTCACACTCTGTACATCCAGGATCCAGTTCACACACAGATTTCAGATTTGGGCTTTGAAGACGCATGTCCTAGATGATAATCCCAGTATATGTTAACTGTCCTGTTCTTCCTGCACCTTGAAAATATCTACAGCTTATGATAATACACTGGATCATACTAGCTCATCTCCTCTCTCTCCCCCAAGAGCTGTATTTTGAAAACAGGAATACTTGGCAGCTTGAACCTCTGGATTCCATGTTTTCTTTCTCAAGATAAGCTGTAGTAAAACCTGGCTGAACGCGTCTGTTGCTCAATGTTAGCAGGCATTCACGTTCTCCACGTTAGTCAAAGGGAGGAGGGATGGTGCGTAGGGGTCCGGAGTGCAGCCCTGCAGGAGACACGTGACTCCTCCTACTACATATCACACTTGGCAGGAATTCTGGTGTCGGGGGAGCCTGTGGACAGCAACTTACAGAGAAAAGACTGTCCAAGCCCTAGGTATGTCCAAGGACTGTGTCCTCAGCCAGGAGATGGGAATAATCAAACACAGAGCCATCCCCCAAAGTCTCCTAAAGGGTGGTCCTCACCACACCTAACTCACCCCCAAGCCCCCCTTGGGGAGGAGCACTCTCCCTGCATTAGCATCCCCTCCCTCACCCACTTAGAACCATTAATCCTGGCAGTACCCTCAACCTGCATGTAGAAACACATGTGTGCACATACACATGCCCCTCGCCGTGATTTCAAAGATTTAGAGAGATAATTAGATGTATTTCCTCCACATGAAAGGGCCCAGGGACTCTTCCTATTTGGAAAAATGGAGAGAAACAGTTTCAAGGAATCAGAAAGTCCCAAGGCACTGGCTTTTCCAAGCCTTCATTTCTTTGTTTTCCAGCCCTGTACTCGACAGAAGTGGCATCAGTAAGAGTCAAGCAGAAAAGATCCCAGAGGGGAGGTGGGGCAAGCACGTACTTGAGAAACACAGCGTGTGGACATTGGGAGGACAGCTTGGCGTGCTCAGCTGGACTAGATCAGATCAATGGGATTTTCCAGTTTTATGTAAAAGAAAGCCAAAGGCACCCCAAAGTTGCCAGCAGGTCTGTGCTCTCAAAGAGGAAGAGTGAGAATAGTGAAACAGTTTCTTCCTGATGCCCACAATGTTCCACTAACTGCTTAAGACCTAACCGCTCCTTGTCCTGTCTTGGGATCCTTGACTGTGAATGAATTAATCTGCCTGCTAAGTCAGCTTCTCCTGAACAGAAGATTCAGAACCAGTCAGAGCCAACTGATGCTTCAATATTTATAAAAGTACTTCCAATCTTCTTTGTTGTTGTATTTTCTTGTAAGGTGACTTTTCCAGGTCTTTAAATGTACCTTTCAGGATAAAAATCCAAACTCCTTCATTTAGTATACACAGCCCTGCATAACCTGCCTCCTGCTGCTGCCTCCACCACGTCCCCTGTACGCACCTTGCTGAGCTGTATGTAACCCCTGAAATGATTTGTACTATTGCCTGTCTCCATGCCCTTGCACGGACTGCTGTTCCCTCTCTCCAAGTGTCCCCTTCACTCTGCCTCATATAATTTCTGTTCAGCTTTAGCACCCATCTCAAGCATCACTTCCCATGGAACACCTCCCCTGTCCTTACTGCCCACAACTGGATCTCATGCCCTTTCTCTGAGCTATCACGTCATCCACATACATCTCTGTCACTAGCACTCAGCATGCGTCATTCAAAAAGTATGTTTTTTGAACCACACTTATTATTCATTCTTTCTTTCATTAATACAAGCATCCATTCAATAAATCTTTGTGGAGTGCTAGCATAGACCCAAATTCAAGGCATTTCAACTAACTGGAAACACAGACACACAGACCTGAAAAAGTAACCAATAGAAACAGTCACAATATGACACCTGATGCAACATGAGAGCTTTAGATCTTTAACAGAGATCCTAGTAGTATACAACAAAATCCAAATGAAGAAGGAATACTTTGTTAAAGTCCTATCTACTCTGAAACTAAATGTATGATAGTTAAGCTTGTCCTAAATTCAAAGCAAAACTAAAGTTTCCTGACCTCTCCTGAATCACTCACCACTGAGAAGCAGTCAGAATCCCAGTAAGTGTGACGCTGTGGGGTCATCCTTCCTTGATGCCTTGGTCACTCAATAAACTGGGTAATTTCAACCTACCCTCTAGATGGGCAAGTTGCTCTGAAAATTTTCCAAGTACAAGTATAATGAGGATGAGAGGAAGGAAAGAAAGAAAGGCAGGGGGACCAGGGAGGAAGGGCTGATGAAGGTGTAGAATCAAGCATAGGGAAGGCTCAGAATTACATGGAAATTCGGGCTGGTGGAGCAGTTCGTCTGGGGACTAGTGACCGTACACACACGGCCCTGCAGAGGGCTGGCATCAGGGGCACCTTAAACATGGAGCGGAATGAACACCCAATTTCATTTGGGGCTCCCAGCCACAGGCACTAACAAGGTCAAGTCCTCACTGCGTCAGTGAGACCATTACCCTGGGATTCCTCTCCACACCCTGATTCCTGAGGCAGGTTCACAGGCTCAGAGCAATGACAGGCATGCTGCCAGGCTGCTTCCACGGTCCAGGAGCACAGCCTCTCGCCCTGCTGACCTGCTTGTCTTCGTTCCTACAGGGTGGTGCTCAGCATGGCGGGGACTCCGGGCCTCCTCCTCCTCCTCCTCTGTGCTGTCGGGCCGGTGAGCCCCTTCAGCACCCACTGGAAACCCACCTGGCCTGCTTACCGCCTCCCTGTGGTCTTGCCCCAGTCCACCTTCAATTTGGCCGAGCCAGAGTTTGGGGCCGAAGCCAAACTGGAAGTGTCGTCCTCGTGTGGCCCCCAGTGTCACAAGGGAGCCCCACTACCCACGTATGAAGAGGTCAAGCAGTACCTGTCTTATGAGACCCTCTATGCCAACGGCAGCCGCACCGAGACGCAGGTGGGCATCTACGTCCTCAGAAGTGGCCAGGGGGAGTCTCCGGGGAAGTCTCGGAGGAAGCGGCAGATTTATGGCTACGACAGCAGGTTCAGCATTTTTGGGAAGGACTTCCTGCTCAACTACCCCTTCTCAACATCGGTGAAGTTATCCACAGGCTGCACCGGCACCCTGGTGGCGGAGAAGCACGTCCTCACAGCTGCCCACTGCATACACGATGGGAAAACCTATGTGAAAGGAACCCAGAAACTTCGGGTGGGCTTCCTGAAGCCCAAGTTTAAAGATGGCGGTCGAGGGGCCAACAACTCCAGCTCAGCCATGCCCGAGAAGATGAAATTTCAGTGGATCCGGGTGAAGCGCACCCACGTGCCCAAGGGTTGGATCAAGGGCAATGCCAATGACATTGGCATGGATTATGACTATGCCCTCCTGGAACTCAAGAAACCCCACAAGAGGAAGTTCATGAAGATTGGGGTGAGCCCTCCCGCCAAGCAGCTGCCAGGGGGCAGAATCCACTTCTCCGGTTATGACAATGACCGACCGGGCAATTTGGTGTACCGCTTCTGTGACGTCAAAGATGAGACCTATGACCTGCTCTACCAGCAGTGTGACGCCCAGCCCGGGGCCAGCGGGTCCGGGGTCTACGTGAGGATGTGGAAGAGACAGCAGCAGAAGTGGGAGCGAAAAATTATTGGCATCTTTTCAGGGCACCAGTGGGTAGACATGAATGGTTCTCCACAGGATTTTAACGTGGCTGTTAGAATCACCCCTCTTAAATATGCCCAGATTTGCTATTGGATTAAAGGAAACTACCTGGATTGTAGGGAGGGGTGACACGGGGTTCCTTCCTGGCCACACACAATGGTTTCTCATGTACTTACTTTAGGAGAGGCCAGATTTTGTCACTGGGAGGGGTGTGTGTGCGTGTGTGTGTTTGTGTGAAATGTGTTACCTTTTACCTAATTTCTTTAAATTGCAAGATGACTGGCTATATTATTTGAAAACTGGTTTGTGTGTCATATACCATTTGAGCAGTCTGAAGGCATACTTTTGCATAGAAATAAAAAAAACATGCTGAGGTTTGGGGCAATAGGGAAGATTGAGTGATTAAGTTAATCTTTCACTTTTTGAGAACATTGATTTTTATTTCATCTGAACTTGTTTCCAAAGTTTATGTTAAATACATGGCATACAGAAGAGATAAATTCTTGTGTGTGTGTGTGTGTGTGTGTGTGTGTGTGTGTTTTCTCCTGAGATTCATCTTGTTTTGTTTTGTTTAGTGCCTAATCATTAGTATTTCCAGATGGCAAGGTTCTCCACCACATACAACTCTTAGGAACTTTTATAATACTTTTTGAGAGGCAGTTATACGATTTTGGATTTAGGGGCATTTGCACAGTAGTCCTGGGTCAGTGAAATAATTTGTTGACTATGTTGGTGCACATGTTAAACTGTCTCTTACAGTAAGTCAGTATCCCAAGTGTCTTTCAGTTTTGACATCGTTTCTCGTCTGAAGGCACTTGCTCTACTTTTTGGGAAGAATTTGCATGTGGTTCAGCCAGTTCTGCAGTCAGGCCAGAGTAGGCAAGACTGCGTATGCCAGTCCTTCCATTTACAGGATTTCACTCACATTTCTTGAACTAGCTGTCCTCCAGAAGACAATAATCAGGGCCTAATTAGAACAGGCTGCATTGCTTCCCAGCTAACAGTTGTGGTCACACTAAAAACAATCATTGTATTTCACCCCTGGAGTGTAGCACATCTCATGTTTTATCATTTGGATGGAGTAATTTAAAATGAATTAAATTCCAGAGAACAATGGATGCATTGCTTGGCAGATGTCACAACAGAATAACCACTTGTTTGGAGCCTGGCACGGGCATACAGCCTAATCAAAATTATTCTGCACAGTTTTCAGTGCGCTTTCAGGGAGCTGTGTACGGGTGCACTTTGGAAACTTTTCTCTCTTACTTTGCTTGTTCTATAGTAAAAATATTTGGAAAGTACTTTAAGAAAAACCAATATGGCTTTTTTTCACTAGCTTCAAAAGGGCCTCTTTTACTGGGATATTCTAGGCTGCAGACACACATAATCAAGTTCAAGAGTAAAAGTGAAAATTGGCAAATGTAAAGCGGATCAAAATCACCACCTCAGTAAATTATGGATGTTTTATCAGAATGAAAATCACAGGATAGAAAGAAAAGACTTTGACTTATTTTGTGTTTTCATTTTATGCCTCTTGGCTTGAGCAGCTCTTTCTAAATGTATCAGTAGAGGAAAAAAGCAGATGAATTACAAAGCAGATGTGCCACGTGCTCGCACCCCTGGCAACTCCAGCCGGCACTGTGACTGTTTGTTTATGAGGACGTTGAAACCCAGGGCTGATGCTTAACCCTTCTCTGGGTGATTTTTGGCTTGTGTTCCTTGAGCTTTTCTAAAGCATGACCCTGATAAGGCACTCAAGAAACTACACCCATACTGCTGTCTTCAAATCACGTAAGAAATTCTATGCATAGCAGAGCTGCGGGGCCACCAGGAATCTCCTGAGTTCCGCCACAATATGGCTTGGACGCGACCAGGACTCCAGCCTGGGGAAGAAGAGAGGTCTCCTTCTCTGTGCTGGTATTTGGGGGGTTTGTTTGTCTTTGCTTGGTGCTAAAGGAGGTTCTCTGGGCGCCTCGACCAGATCTGGTTTTTTAAAAAACAGATGCTCCTTTATCAAGGCATACTTGATTTCTCGCAACATTGAAACTTCCTCAGCAAGGGTCAACAGTGGCACAAAGTCAAAATAATACAGTATTTAGTTCACAAGTAGATGTAATTTACTAAGACTAGCACCCACAGGCTATATCTAGCATAACCCATAGAATTGTAAAGGAAGACAATAAAATAGTTCCATATGTCCACTTTTTTAGTGGTTAAAAAAAAGGAAGCAGGTATTAAAATATGGAAGCTGAAAAAAAAAGAAAAGACTCTTGCAACATGATGAACATAATTAGCGCTTTACATGTGTTAGTTACACGTTGTAAGGATGTATTCCTAGTAAGGCTAGAACAATGTTGCCCAAAGTATGTGCCTTAAACACTCGTCCCTCCAGATTTTCTGCCAAAAATTAAAATGGCATAATCATCAAGGAGGAAGGGGATGCCTCACATTCTTCCCTTTTTCACTGGGGATTTAGTTGCCTGTTTGCACATTAAAAGCTCTAAGAAGTCCTGTAATAAAGAGTCATATTAATGTTTTTAAATCTGCATTTCAATAAACATCTTTGATCACAGAACCCTTGTTTTCTCATGGGATACTGATGAGCAATTTAGTGTTCCAATCAATACATTTTGGAGATTGCTATCACTGCCTTCTGGTCAAAGTGATGATGCAGAAAGTCTGAGTCCCGAGTGGCGCTGGGTACTGGGGCCTTTTGGGTGAAACAGAACCCCATATTTGGAAATATTCAGAGGGTAAAACGGGAGAGAATAAACTTGAAAATCATTTGTTGTCGAGAATCAGAAGATTGTGACAGAATTTGGAACACATTTTTTCATAGACTTTATTCAAAGTGCTGGATTTTATAAAGGAGCTAGTCCAAAGGCATGGGAAAATAGGGCTAAAAGAGGTAAAGAAATAAAGAGGTAAAGAAGTCGGTGGCAGAGTTACACGTGTGTTCTTTCTTTCCTTTTCTTTTTTTTTTTTTAGACCAGACATGGATTTAAAAAACAAACAAACTGGGAGGTAAGTCATAACATCAAGGTCACGCTCTTCACTTGTGTGACTACCTGCTCAGTGGGCGGGCAGGCCCACGGTCATTAACACCCAGGTCCGTGTGTAAGGTAGTGGTCTCTCTCTAACACCTGCGGGAGTCTGGTTCAAAACTGGTTGAGGATGCCAAGCTGGCACTGGAGTAACGACTCTCTACTGTCCCCGCCATGCACTAGCTGAGGGTAAGTGGCAGCTATCCAGGACTATCTGGAGGAGCTGGAACAGCAGCCCTCAGCACTTCCTCTGTCCTTGCTGGTCAGAGCCCGCAGTCAAGGAGCCTAGTGGACGGTCCCTGCCCTGGCCTGGCTGTCCTTCTGGCTTTGCCTGAGCTCTACTGCTCAGGTCTGCCCCTGTCCTTGTGAAGCACCAGCTCAAGGATGTCTGGAAGTTGCTTCCCTCAACCAGTTTTTATGGATATTTGTAGAGTGGCCATTTAATTTATCATCCAGAATGGAACACTTTTAAGACTGACTGAAACAGAATTCTATGAGGCCAGGGCAGCAGGGACACACCAGTTGTGTCCTGGGAAACCCAGCATGTCTGGTCACCTCGACTGATAAACACTTGGAAGCACTGTACAGAATGCGGACCAACAGCCAACCTTGTTAACCCAGAACAGCGGTGGGGCTACGTGCCCCCTTGGCCTGGATCCACATTCTGTGGGCATCTGATAGCGGAAGGGCATTTAAAACCCCTGTTGATGGGGTGGGGTCTAGAGTACATAGGTGGTAGACACCAACCATTTCCAGCAGCTGAACAACCCCTCTGTTTTTAGACTTCCGTTTCCCCAGAGAAGGAAATCAACCAGCTTCCAAGACTAGAGTAGATCAGGCTGAGAGGTGGGGCAGCAGACTGGTGTGGGACAGTGACGGCCGTGGAGTTGGGCAGATTGATTCCATAGCTGTCTGTTCCTTTTGGTGAACAAATCTCAATGCACTTCAGTTTAAACTTAAAACCCTCCTATCTGATTGAAAGATCCTCCCTCTCTCTCCGGGTTCCTACTCCTCCAGTGGGCTGGGGTAGAACAGAGGAAGAGGAAAAGGGCAAACACCTGTGTCCTCTCCTCAATGGCTGCTGCTTCTCTGACAACATCAGCTCTTCCATCCTCCTTAGCTCTTACCTTTTGTGATGTAACCCTCTGCCTCTTGCTGTTGGGGCACCCTTACCTGGCAGACAGGCCTCTCGAGTGGTGAACCAGGAAAAGAACCCAAACCCAGCCATCCTCTTCCAGTCTGGCATTACGTGAGAAACTCACAGGCTTGCTATAGCTAACTGTGAGCTGCTCATTGACGATCTAGAGAGAAGCTGTTCTAGGCTGAGGGCACTGGAGTGCAGGGGCCCCTGGCAGGATCTAATTCAGTCTGTTCAGGAAGCAGGGGTTAAAAAGTATAAACTTACACTATAAAATAAATAAGTCATGGGGATGCAATGTAGAATACGGTAACTATCAATAATACTGTTTTGCATATTTGTAAGTTGCTGAGAGAGCAAATTTTAAAAGTTCTCATCACAGGAAAAGAATTTGTAACTATGTGTAGTAATGAATGCTAACTAGACTGATTGTGAAATTATCATTTCACAATATATGCAAATATTCAATCATTATGTTGTACATCTGAAACTAGAATAATGTTGTATGCCAATTATATCTCAATTTTTAAAAAAGAATAACACTTAGGTTTGGGGCTGAGCATCCGGGTAGATTGCACGTACTATTTGCTGAGATGGGAAAGACTGGGGAAAGAGGATTCGATTTGCAATCAGGGTGGGGCGGGGGTGGGGGGTGACAAAAATCAAGAATGTATTAGTCATGTTTGAAATGTCTAGTGGACAACCAAGTGGACATGTCAAGTGAGCACGCCGATTATTAAGAATCTCTGATTGCAAGACTCGGCAGAGAGACCTTGAATCAGCATGTAGGTGGCATTTAAAGCCACAGAGCGAGGTGGTATCACCTGGGGAGACAAAGAGAGGAGGCTTGAGAAGCCAAGAGGGCTGGGGACAGAATCCTGGTGCACAGTCCTTTAGAGGTTGGGTTCGTAGAGGGGGAAGTGGGGGAGGATGAGGCTGCAAAGAGGCTGAGAAGAAGCAGCCAATGAGGTCAGTGGAAAACTAGGAAAAGCTCAGAAGCCAAGAGAAGAAAGTCTGAAGCCAGGTGAGGGAGGGAGGAGGGCAAAGGGAAGCGACAAGAAGAAGTCCAGTTTAGAAGAGCCCCTCTGGCTCCAGTGGGCAAGGCAGGGTGTGGCGGGCAGCCAGGGAGGAGCCATCTGGCCCTCCAAGCGGAACTTTGCCTGGTGCACCTCTGCGCTCCCCGCGGCTCTGCTCCCTCACTGCCTGTGATGACTGATGAACTGAATCCTCAGCCGAGCCTCGGGATAGCTCTGCCCTCAGGAAGGGCAAGGATTCAGGGCCGCAGGCTCCCTGGGGGAGTCTGAGGGTCTCGATAACCAGGGTTCAGGAAGGCCCATGGCCGTCCCCTCCTGTCCAGCCTGATGTTCTCTGAGAGTGGAAAGTGCAGGGTGACTCTTCAGTGTGGTGTGTGTGTGTGTGTGTGTGTGTGTGATCAAGTGAGTAAAAATTCCAAGTGCTCTCTTAGTCTTGATTTATCACAGGCCCCATCTTCAGACTTTAAAAGGACTAAGGCACTCTCTTCCCTAAAGAGCGAGGACAGCTTTGAGAAGTGTCAAGTTCCAATCCACTGAAGCAAGACTGAAGTGTTTCCATTGGAGAGAAAGAGGAGTCTCAGAAAATGAAATAAACAGAGCAAGTGTCTGGAATGGGAGCAGCAGCCGTGGGAACAGCCAGCGGCTCAGCCGTGCCACAACTGAGCTGTCTTCTCAGGAAGGCCTTCCCTGCCCCTTCTCTAAAAGCTCCCCCACAGCTGCCCAAGGCATGTTCTAAAGCAAAGACCTGGTTGGGTCACTCCCCTTTGTGTCCTGTTGACTAGACTCTGGCCACTAGAGGATAAAGGTTAGTATTCTTAGCCTCAAATCTACCACCCATCCAATATGGTGGTCAAGTTTATCCTCCATTGCTCCCTAGTCACACAGCCTGGCCTCCAGCAAGCCGCACTAAAAGCACTGTGTTTTCAAGCCACCCCCATTGCGCAAGCTCTCCTCCTCTGCCAAGGCTGCCCTTCCCCCGTCTCCCCGGATCGCCAATTATTCAGCTATTCAACTACTCTTCAGCAATAAGCCCCTCTTGGTGCTGGTCTCTGTCAGCTGACACTGGAGCTGCAGAGACAGACGGGACACATCCCTGTGCTCGAGGTGTTCCTGTGTCTTCTCCTTTTGAGGTCATGGTAGTCACAGGTCCAGCTCTACCTCCCAGAGTGGTAAGGCTCAGGAACTACTTCGTCTACGAGACTATCTTGGTGTCAGTAAAATGGAACTGCCACTTTGTAAATTGAACTAATTGAATGTTCCACTCACATTTCAATAAATCTTTGAGTTAGATTGCCCTGTCTGGTTAGTGCATTTCTTTTCTGGGATTTATTAATACTGCTCTACATCCAGTTCCCTGATGGAAAATGCCATGTTTGGTAAACCAATGTAACTCAAGCATGACTAATATCCTCCATGGATCAGCCTTACTTGGACATAGGACATTGTCCTTCAGAAGTGACACATGTAACCACTCCAGGATGTTTGTCAGACCAACCAAACATAGAGTCAGAAAATCCCACGGAAATGCCACCAGTTTTTTCTATCCTCATGGGAAAAATGTGTTTGTTGATTGACTAAATAATATCAGGGAGAATTAATTCAATTCCCCCCCCCCTTTTTTGATCAGCTTTGTTATGCCTCATTAAGTTCATTGAGCTGTTTAATGTCCCACATTCACTTCATTTGCCTTCATCTGAGGGCTCAGAAATGGCAAAATGCTATGGAGGTTCATTCATAAAAATAATTTGACTTGAAAATCCAATTATTTATAACACCCACCACCATGTGAAAGGATAAAACATATAATGATTACACTTGAGTCTATCCATACAGACATTAACATTTGTGATCAGATTTCTTTAACGGTTCATTTTTGTTGAAAATACAGTTCTTTGAGAGTAAGAAAGAAACTTGGATTTGATTTTTTAAATTATCTTCTTACTGTGAGCTGCTGTTTCCTGGACATTTTCTATTTCATTTATAATGTGTCTTTGATCATATTTTTCTTGAATCTGGTGCTCTGTAACCCCTTTATATAGTGTTTCTTTTAGATACCATTTTTAAAAACTTTTCTCTTGAAATGTTATCAATCTGTCTAGAGAGTCAATTTAGTTATTTTCAAATTTTAAGCTCTTTAGATCATTACAACTGAAAAGATGAAAAACAAAGTAAGAAATTCTGTGATTGCAGATCAAACTTTTGCAAGTGGCTGGCTGGCACTTTTGAGATGAAAGTCTAGACTTTCATGATGTGCCCTATATTTCTAGCTTGCTGATTGTCACCATATTCTTGAAGGGAGACAATGAGGCTTGTCTGATATACCTGAACATCAATTAGAGTTCTTTTGTAGAGTGTATCACTGTTCAACTCTAATGTTTGCCATTGGCTCACTGACTTTTTATAACCAGTGAAAACCCATCCAAGGATCTTGCAATTTCCTCTTGAATTTGTTCTTATAATGAATTTACACTGTATGGAGGGAAGTACTAGGCTATTCATTAATGAAATTAACAAGCATTTATTGAGGGCCTGCTGTGTGTCAGACACTTTTCTAAGGGCTTTACATAGATTAATTAATTCATTTACTTCTTCACTACAAATGGATGGAGGAAGCATTGGTTTTTATCTCCATTTCAGAGATGGGAAAATTGAGGCACATAGACATCAACTTGACAAAAACACACAGCTAAAATTGGGATTCATATCCTGACAGTCTGCC